TAATATGCTGATTTGCTGATTATCAATATTTAAAACAGTTGAGTACATTTTCATCAGGATTTTTTGATGAATAGAAAGATCCAAAGATCAGCATTTATCTGAAATAAAAAGCTTTTGTAACATTATACATGCACTATACAAAAAGCTTGGGGTCAGTAAGTGGAGTCATCAAAGAAACCTGAAAACAAAAATCTAATCTGTTTTCAACATAAATGTTTTTGAGCAGCAAATCAGCATATTAGAATGATTTCTGAAGGATCATGTGACACTGAAGACTCGAGTAATGATGCTGAAAAAGTGCCTAAACGTCAAAATTAGTACAATATATTTGTTGAAAAATTCTAATACTGAACACAGTATTGAATTATTAGGCTTTGACTCAAAGCTTTTGACTTAGTCATTTGCACTTATATATTGTTGCTCTTTTGTTAGTTTTCACTGCTTTTATTGTCCTCATTTGTAAGTCGCTTTGGATAAAAGCGTCTGCTACATGACTAAATGTAAATGACTCGTATTATTTTTTTGTTGCTGTATGCTCTAGCTCCCTCCCTCCCTGTTCAATAAATCCATGTGAATATCTGCCTCTGCTAAAAAAATGTATGTAACTCTACAATCGATATTGATGTCCTTTAGCACAGTATTCTGAATGATGATAATAATGGGGTGCTACTGATAGCCTAACAGATACTAGCAGTTTAATACTCAACTAGGTTAATAAAGACAAAACTATCTAATGAAACTGACCTGCACTGCACTTGACTCCTTCATCGAGTCCCGCGCATCAGTTCTGTTCGGAACCGTTTGACGGAAGCGCGAGCGCTGACAGCCAAGACTAACCGATTTATGATTTATTATCGATTTATTATCGAATGAAAAAAACGAAAATGATCACTTTGGTACATTGAGAACGCATAAATATAAAATATTAATAATAATAATAACTACAAAAAAAAAAAGAACAGGGCAGCGGGCCAAATCAGCCGCCAGGCCACCGGAAATTCTCCCGGTGCTCTCGATGGCCAGTCCGGGCCTACGTCACGTGTCTCCCTCCCTCCGCCCTTCTCATCTCTGTCTGCTCTGCTGACACACTCCCTCGCGCAGACGTACACCTCAACATCTCTCTAGCAATATCAGACCTTCATCTCAACATCACTGAAGCAATACCAGACCTTCATCCCAACATTACTCCAGCAGCGCGGGTTTGCTATGGAGCAGCAGTACGGAAGCTGATTCTCGATGTCATGGAAACAGATGCTTGAATAAGAGCGTCACATCCCACTGGTACAGCTACAACTCACAATAGCGCACATTCTTGCTGTTGGCTTTCTATTTAGCCCTGTTGTGTTTAGTGATTTGCTTGTTTTATGTAACAACTAGTGTCAGTTGTGTTAAATAATATACTATAACATAGCGCAGATAATATAATGTATTTTAGTATCACATGTAAGAGTTCTCCAGAGGTATCTGAGCCGTAGGGGCTGGTTGCTATGAAGGGTGAAAGTCAAATCACAAAAGGCCCTGCCACAAATAGGATCTAGATTCTAGAATTGCTTTGAATTATTATTAATTGATTGATGCTCCTGCCATATTGTTATTTTTGTCCTGTTTGTTTGTGATACTCTAGCCTGTGTTGTCGCCCTTGTCTTTAACCTAAGTTTGAAGAGGGACTGACCGTCAGAATCCATCGCTGTGAAAAAGCGGCAGTGGCATCATGAACTTCTTCTCACCAATTCTCTCGCTTGTGTTGCTCTTCTGTATTAGAGGTATGTATATATTTCTGCAGTACTTACATCACCACCAAGACAAGTCTGCACTGCCATTCTGGATTATAGTTAGAATCCATAAATAGTATAAAAAAGAGCCCAGGTTGTGAAGTAAGTTGATGTTGACACCTGTAATTTAATCATGTAAAGTCTGACATATGTATAATATATATAATAATCAGATTTTTTTTTTAAATGACATAGTTTATTGAACATTCAGACAAATTATATAAAAAATCTGCATATATGTTTTATTTTTTGTAACATATTTGTGGTTATGGTTAATATAGTTTTATACAAGAGGGGGGAAACCATTTTACAATTTAATTTGATTTTGATCTTCATTCCAGTAAATGCTCATCCTGAAATATTAGTAATAATATAAATGTTATTCACATGTTTACTAAAGATTTACCAGCAGAAAGACACATGTACTATGACCTGAAGTTGGACTTTCTTTTTTGAAGTTTTTTTTTTGAATTTTTAGAAGGCCTTTTACTTGCTAAAAAGTATTAACTTAGAAACAGAGGGCAGAAATCATTGTAGATTGTTTACAATATTTTTTTCCAGCAAAGTGTTGATCATGTTGTTATTTTGAGGCCTCAGGAATTCACATATTTTCTTTTTCATTTTTCTTTTTTTGTGCAGTGAACAGATTCTGCCATCTGGCTAGTGCTTTACTTATCAAGCTGCCATTTAATTTGTCATCATTTCAGCACATAAAAGACACTGGGAAAAATATTTTTTTTAATTTTGTGGAGACGTTGCTTTGGACTGTATAAAGGGGTTCAGTTGTGTAACATGTTTATATTAGTATCCTGAATCTAAAATGATAAACCCCAATATCTTTCATCATGCATTTGTTGTGTTTTGTTGATGCAGTATCGGGACAATGCTGGCAGGCCGCAACCTACTCTGAGAGTGTAGTGTCTCCGGAGCTGAGGAGCAGCAGTATTTTGCGGGTTCCGGATGTTTCGTCTCTGGCCCAGTGTGCGGGGGCCTGCTGTGATCTCTCGGGCTGTGACCTGGCCTGGTTTTTTGAGCGTCGCTGCTATGTCCTTAGTTGTCAGCACAAAGAGAACTGCCAACCGAAGCAGAGACCTGGTACTGACTCTCTCCTGGCATTTCTGCAGCGTGGGCCCCCGCAGACACTGGTTCTGCAGTCCCTGGTTCGAGGAGAGTCTTTCCCAAACCACTGGCAGCCCCTGCCCAGGCACAGAGGCTCTGAGGACCCCATGAAGGACTTTGCCTTGTTAGAAGGCATTCAGGATTTGGACAACACTGATGCTGAGTATGCCGAGAGTTTCCGAAGTTTGGAGGACAAAAGAGCTGAAGACAGAGATGCTGCAACAGTAGAACAAGAAGAGCGGCCTGGGCTATATGATTGGCCAATTGTTCAAGGAAAAGAAGAATTCAACCAATCAGAGACAGAGAGAGTTGGTGAAAGACTGACGACAGTGCAGGGCCCTCTTGAAAGCAGCCCCTTTCCTCCAAGTCACTTCCCAGAAATGAGGAATGAAAGCAAATCATCTCTTATTGAAGCAGATTCTGATGTTAAGCCCCCATTAATCACGACACTTAACACAAGGGTGAGTGTTACAGATTCATGCATGTTATTTTCAGACACCTTCAAGACATTAAAAACGGACAGGTAAAACTGTTTAAAAGCTTGGGGTCAGCAGGGATGCATTCAATTGAGCAAAAGTAAAGTTATTTAGAATGATACAAAAGATTTATATTTGAAATAAATTCTGTTCTTTTGAACATTCTATTCATCAAAGAATGAAAAAAAATATATCACAGTTTCCATAAAAATATTAAACAGCACAACTGTTCTCAATATTACTGTAATAATAAGAAGAAATGCTTTTTGAGCACCAAATCAGCATATTAGAGTGATTTCTAAAGTATCATGTGACACGGAAGACTGGAGTAATGGCTGCTAAAATTTCAGCTTCACCATCATAGGAATAAATGACATATTTTATATAGTATATATGTAATATATACTATATACAGTATATATATGTAATATATATGAATATATATGCATTATAGATTCCATAATAATATTAAATGACATTTTTTAAATATCAATATAAAATTGACAAGGCTGTTGGCATGGTAATCAAAATGAAAGGAACTGTTTTTTCTCTTATACATAGTTGCCAATTCATCATCGCTTGAAATGTCATGATTCTATTTTAATGTTGTGGCATCATTGGGAAACATGGTGTCTTAAATGTACTCTCACTCTGGCCAAGTGCTTAATCAGTCTTTCATGTCTCATCTGCTGTATGAAATCTGGAAACAACACATAATTTTCCTCTTATTTAAAGGGGCCATATGATGCGATTTCAATTTTTGCTTTCTCTTTGAAGTGTTACAAGCTCTTGGTGCATAAAGAAGATCTGTAAAGTTGCAAAGATTAAAGTCTCAAATCCAAAGAGATATTCTTTATAAAAGTTACGCCGGCCGTTCCTCACTCTAGCCCGCCAGCCGCCCCTCACTCTAGCCCCGCCGGCCTCCGCTCACTCTAGCCCACTGGCCGTTCCTCACTCTAGCCCGCCGGCCTTCGCTCACTCTAGTCCGCCGGCCGTTCCTCGAAAGCGAAACTACTTTGTTTGGCCATCCAAAAGAGGACACGACTAGAAATCAGTGGTTAAGTTGTATTTACAACACTGTTCCAGAACAGTTCAACCCAAATATTCAGATGTGTGCAGCGCATTTTATGGAGGACTGTTTCCTGATCCTGGAAGAGTAGACTACAATGACGGCTGCTCTGACTCACAGACTGTAAGTACGTTTTCATTTAAAGGATTTGCCACTGATGATT